CCGTCATCGAGCACCTCATGGATGAAGACAGACGATATACATTACTTTAGTTAGAGAGCGCAAGTGGCATCGAAAAACGCACCGTCCACAGGATATTGTGTAATGAGCTAGCGTCAGAATCCTTCCCCAGTCAAATTGATGGTGATCGTCGTGTATGACGTCAGGGGTGTCATTGTTTGCCACTTTGCTCCTCATGGCAGAACAGTGAACACAGTACTACAGGGACTTCCTGGTGCGACAGGTACGACGTGGCGTTCGGGATAAACATCCGGATCTTGTGAACAGTGCAATAATTCTGAACGACAATGCAAGACCACATAAAGCAGAGCGTGTATGGCAGCTACTCTGACGTTGGGTATGGGAAGAATTGGAGAACCCAAACCGGTACTCTCCTGTCCTTTCGCCCTGTAACTTTGATCTCATTCCCAAGGTTAAGGAACCAATACGAGGTAGGCGGTTTGCAACACGAGAGGACATTGCTAATACTGTGCGCCAACAGGTGACTCGATTCACACGTGATGCGGTAAATACTGAGGCTAATGGTATTCAGCACCTCCCACGTCGTTGGCAGCGTGTGGTGACAATAGCAGGGGACTACATTGAGGGTCTTTAGGTCCAGGTTTGTCATGTCAACTTTATGTGTATTGTGCTATTCTTTTGCACGGTGAAGGCCATATTGCCCTGTATACTACTGTAATAAATTCGTGTGTTACGATATTTCAGTGCTATTCATTGTCCACGCATGTAGTTAAGACCTTGTCCTTTCGTCTGTATTTGTCACATTTTCCAACCGGACTGGTATCTTCAAGAAAAAAAAAATATTTGCCATGACTTTTGCCCCAACCTACGTATAAGGGACTCCAATCCAGAATAAAACAACATATTTTTCCTGCCCATTTTAAACCATACACAAATCATTCATTAAATTTAATTGGAAACGCTGCTGCCGAAAGTTGCATGGAAATGACCACTTTTTTCCATATCGTTCAGGAATTGTACATATTTTATACAATATCCATAGTTATACAGTTAAAGTTTTCAAAACATGTTTCATGTGCTATATTACAAAGAATTTAGCAGATTTGGTCTATGTTACGTAATTTTGCTAATACAGTATACATTTTAGGTAATTTTCACTTTTACAGTACGTACTGAGTATACAAAAGCAGTAAAGACAGAATGTATATGTAAGTAGAGATGATATCAATACAAACAGTTATAAAAGGAAGTGACAAAATAAGAATTATTTACATTACTATGTCAGCTAGGAAGTAAGAATTATTTACATTACTTTATATATGGATGCATGTTGCAGTTACAATACACAAAGACTAATGCAGACATTAATACAATAAACAAACACTAATACAATGTGCAAACATTAATGCCGGTTACATTACAATATTGCAGATTTCTAAGGAATAGGGAATAAATGTTGGGGAGAAAGACTTAAAAATGTACTTCTACCTTATCTAAACTTGTGCCTGAAATTAGTTGCGACAACCAAATTGCTGGGTATATTTCGGCATGGTATTTATTATTCATGTTCGCGTGGTAAGTTATCAAACTGAAACTTCGTGTTTTCTTTCAAAAGAGCTATCTTCTTTCTAACTTAGAACTCAGTATAAAGAGCTCGTACTTCTCAACAATGCTCGGCACAAAATTTCTAGGAACACATGTGCTTATAGGAAGAATTAACAGTTAAAGAGTATCCGGTTCAAATGACGATCAAAGCAAGCTATCCTAACAAATTATACGGTATATGATCAGGATAGAGTTTCGGTGATTTAGACAGAATATATTGGGTTAGGAAAATTTATTAGGCAAAACAAATGAGGACTGTCTGTCTAAGGATGGGAGAGTTTTAATGGAAAAAGTTCTAGGTAAAACTTACACTTACTTAAGTTACGCGTGAGGAAAACCACTAAAATTCTGCTAGTCCGTTCTACTCAAGGACCAGGATTTGGACCCGAGTCCAACTACCACTGTTCAATAATCTTACCGCTAATGAGTTTAAATTACATTGGAAATCTGACAATGAACTTGTGTACTGAATACATTAAATAAATAAAATAATTTCAATATTGCTATGAATAAATAGGAATTATAAATGGTTTCGATAAAAACTAACGTTTAAATTATTCATCTATACAATTTTCAATGCATTTTTTCGAAGCTGAGAGTTTACAGTGGTATCTCAGACAAAACAAAAAGTCTTAGACTTGTAAACTATTCTCTTAACCCTTTCCGGCACGCTACCTTTTAAAGTTGGAGTTTTGATTTAAAAAAAAAAAAAAAAAAAAAAAAAAAGGTAGGCTGTCTAATCAGGCCTAGAGGAGTACACAAGTAAAATTTTGTGACGACAGCACTTATCTTTTAATTCTGTGGGTGTGCCCAAACTGGGCACACTGATTGAATAGAGCTTCGAAAAGAGTGCTGAAATGACCATTGTTGTCAATGAACTGACCGATGAGATGCGGAGAAACAAAGAATACAGACTTTCAGTTGGCCTAGATTATTGATGAGCCCCGTATGGGCACACCTAGGGTTCGCCGTTTGATTTTAGGCAAGATTTCAAGGTAAAAATTTAAAACTAATATAGAATAAGGAAATTAGCATACAGCAAAAAAATAACATAGAAATTTGCTTTCAAACAATTACTTTTATACCCTAAAAAAATTCTGGAAGGTTTCTTTGAAAAATGAGGGTCTTAAAAAACTAAGCATGGCTAAAATATATGGATTGGTTTGTGTTGAGCTGCCATCTACTATAAATAAAGAAGGTTCAGAGTAACGTATAGTAACCGATAAATCCTTTTTTATTTAATTTTTCTGTGCGTACAGAAGGAAATTTTTAGGTATGTTCAGACCGGACACACTGTACTGCAAATGGTTAACCAGACTACGAATGGTTCAGGATAGATTTTGTTCTAAATTGGGAAGGGAGGGGAGAACTGTACCGGAAGAATGAAAGAAAACAGCTTTGGCAGTTTATTCGGTTGAGCATGTATCCGTGGTAATTTTAAAAGTTACTATTTTCGATATTGGTTGTGAGATTGTAAGCGATTATAGCATTTATCGCAATAAATTAAAATTTCAGTTCAAAATAGCAAAAGAAAATTTTCCTTTTTAAGGGCAATGTCGGATGTAATATTTTTAGAATGGTAACAGCTGTTTGCAACGTCTGCCAAACTTTGCATAAATCTCCGTCAACAGTTTATTGCATTTCGGTTTAGTAATCACACATGGTGATGACTGATAATCACAAGTGGGCAATCATCAGTCATTTATTGCTGCGTTGTTAGAAATTTCCTAACGCCTATATCATGAACTTTACAATTGAGAAGTTGTTTTATTTACTTACAAAGAAAAAAATAAAAAACTTTTTGGAAATGAAATTACTCATTTATTTATCATTTCGTAAAATTACGGCAGGAAATCGAGAATCCTAGTATAAACTAGAAGATTGCGCTCAAATCGTAAAATAAAATTTAGTAACGAATATCAACTAAAAAGATTCTGACCTCATTGAAAAAGTACGAAAACCGTTTTTAATAATTTCGATATGATTAATGAATATTTCAGACTTAAAAAAAATTTACATTTTATATTAAATCTTGTGTTTCTTGTAACACCGTATTTTACAGCTAAAATTTCGCGAAAACTTATAGTGCGAGAAGGTATAGTATGAAAGAAAATAAATTGATTCTATCAAATTAGGAAAATATAATTTTAACTTTAGAAAGGTTAAATTCAACTAATCAAGTTAAAGTTGTGAGCTACCCTATTCTTGTAAATTCCCATTTTAGTGCATCTTTCCTCGTATTTTAGAAGTTCTCAGACAAAGTTAATATAAAAGCTAACGACGTTCAGTAACTAAAAGCTAACGACGTTCAGTAACTGAAATATGTTTAGTAAGTAAGTTGTTGCTGCATTTAAAGTTAGAGCGACTACATGGTTGTCTTTTCAAGTGGTTAACGATTTAAAATAAAATTTAAAAGTTATGTTACAGAAGTAAAGCGAAAGCAACTTAAAAATCCGTTCATAAACCGAAGCGAAATAAAGCGAAAAAACAATTTTCTCTAATTTATGTATAAAGTGTTTTAAGCTTTCGCGGACTTTAAATCATAGCAGGTAACCATAAGACCGAAAATGATATGATTATGCAGCCTATATAAACAGAAGTAAATTTTGAAATGTTTGTGCTATGCAGCTTTATAATCCAAAATTGGAAACAGGGTTATCAAATGTGGAGGAGGTGATGCGGTGTTGATGATGAGTTAAGGTGATTCTGAGAGGTTTGCCAATGAAAGGTATAGAAGGGCATGATGCAGCAGGTACAGAAACGATCATCTAACTATAACTACCTCTTCGCTAAATTGCATCCATAAAATTATTATGCCACCGCTCCTGTGTCCGCTTGCCGCATATCAACAAACGAGATTTCTCATCTGCTGTGGCTGATTTGAGGGCCTTGAAATACGACAGTATTTTTTACTCTTTGAGTGACAATTTTCTTAATCGTACTAAGCAATGAAAAGCATCTTGCAAAGATCAAAGCATCTTGCCTGCTAAGCAATGAAAACATCTTGCAAGATAGTACTAAACCTTCTTGAATCTCCACTATTAAAAAAATGCTTTTCGGCAATCATCGCATAAAACAAATGAGAAAGACATTTTAGATGTTCTTTTCTTCGCAATTGTGTGAAATCCAAGGTCAGTAGGCAAACAAAGTTAGGCTCTTAGCAACATTGACTTAATTTAGCTGCGCAAGTAGGGAGAGCGAAAACACAAAGGGAGTAGTTGCTTTTGAGCAGTCTAAGTGACGTCATACAACAGCAAATCTTGCAGCGTAGTAATCTGGTGTAAATTCTATGAAGAGCCATGCTGAATGTTCTTTGGAAAGAAAAATTCGAACTAAGTTTCTTAGAAATCATAAGGTGAGGGTTTTAAATAGTAATCGTCTCTTTAGTGTTGGTGACGTTCGATTATTTGAATAAGATAAAGTACGAGTGGGCTATCTGTCTCAGGGAAGGCTGTCTTCTAGGAAGTTTTCTAAAGGAAACTGTTTTATATTAACGTTACAGATGGAAAAAAAAATCCACGCAAACTAGCTTGTTTGTCTCGGATCTAATCTGGATTGAACTCGTAGTCTTTCAGAGTTAGAAGCTCAAAGACTTATCGAAGTGCTCATAATTATTTACCTTTACTCAGCTTACACACAAATATTTATCCGCAATAGACAGCTGATGTTTAAATCTGAAACTTTCTTTAGTTTGTTTGAAAGGATTGTATTTATCATCAAGAGTTATGCTTGCTCATGTATATGTGATAATTTCATGGTACAACGAGATATGATTTGTTTGTAGATACTAAGAAGACACTAATTAGCTCTGTAGTCATGGATAATTAAATTAGATGATAGCCAAAATACAGAGTGTGTAGCAGGTGGCTGAATTCTGCAAAGCACAACTAGCTTGATAGTTAAAATCATTTTATTTATAGACTACTAATTTCATAGCAAATATCTTCTTGATTGGTAGAACATTAAGAGTGCTATAGCACAATTTTGTATACACTAATCACATTCTTAAAACAATAGATGAAAACAGCCAAGCGTTAGTTACGTGCTTGCGAAGCCACAGCAGAGGAGAAAACGTTCTGCATAATATGATACTGAAGTAATATTTATAAGCTCGGCTTTTTTATTTGAATCCTGAGTAGCGACTGGGCGAGAGTTTTTCGCATTGCAGCAGAAGTAATGACAACAGTACCTTGGGACAGATCCTTTGAAAGGGCCATAGGCAAATAAAATCAGGACTATTGCCAATTAAGTTAGTAATTTTCTTTCATATCTTATATCTTACCTATATACTATTTAGCAAATCTATTATGCTTACCTGTATACCATATTTCGAAAATTTGGTTTTTGGCTTGTTTGATCACGGTAAAGCACGCAAGGGCTATTTGCCAAAGGAAGAGAATACCTTCGTGGAGGACTTTCTGAAAAAGGCCTGGGTTATATCTCCTTATGTCTCCTTATAGTTCCTTATGTATATACATATACTTGATTGTATATACATATTCATTATGTATGTGTATTATGTATATACATATACATAAGGAACAAACATGAACATGCAGCCAGGCCATTCTTTCACAGAGTTTTGAACCCGGATCAAATTGCCAGGGTTCGGCCACTTTACCAATGGGCTGTTGGTAAGGCTGTAGGAAATCGAAGTTAAGTTCTGAAATAGCGATAGCCAGATCGAAAAGGTTAAAATTTAGACAGTATATTTTAAGAAATAGAAATTAAAACTAAGTTTTAAAGAAGTGCGATTATGAAATTGCCTTAAAGATTATGATTATGAAATTGTGAAATAGCTTTCACAAAAATTATACTCTGCAGAATTATATAAAAAAATACAGAACAAAAATGCAAATTTTAAAAAATATTCTTTATATTAAATTTTAGATTTTATAAATATTTATGGCAATGAATAGAAGTAAAATACTTTAATTAAATTTTCAGTTAAAAGATAACTGCTCCACTTCTTAAAATGGTAAAAGTTTTCTTGGTTAAAATGTAGGATTTTCAGAACAATATTTCTTGTATTTACAAATATGTATAGACAAAAATAAAGAAAAACCCCTTGGTATCTTTCTATTACGACAAAAAGTAGGATTATTTCAGATAATATCTATTATTTTTCCCTCGATCGCCATTTCCTGGATGAAAGAATTAAATACTTTTATAGATAAATTACTAGTTCTTTTCTCTATAAGCTGCTCAATAAATACTGTTAGCATTAAATTAACTTAAGAGATTATTCTGAATTGAAAAACATTAAATATTATATACTTTGTGCGTTTATATTCTTCTATTATTAATTATTTTTGTCTTATTTTAACCTTGTGAATTTCAAGGATCTCAACGTTTTAAAGGGGTCGAGTAAATACAAACCATTGGGTGTTAATAACGTTACCTGAAGTTAAGTTTCTAATATGTTACGTTGTATTTTTAGTAGCTTTTCACATGAAAAGTAAATTATCTGTCCCTTACAAAAGGCTGAATATGAAGTATCAGGACAATACTAATGGTGGTTACCTCTAATGGTAGAAATGATTTCGCACTAACCAGTTGATATGTTGATTTCTGATAAATGTTTACAGGTCTGGTACCTTCACCGAAAGATCTAGTACTTTCTTTCAAGATCATTAGACAAACAAGGTTATGTTCTTCTCATTGTTTGAGTTCGGTGATTTCATTTGACTTGCGGAAATGGGAGAAACGAAGGGAACAGGGAGTAGTTGCTTTTCAGCAGACTATCATCAGTGACGTCACAGGCTCAAGGATTTCTGATTAGGAAGAGCAAACCTTGGTACCTTGCTTTCTTCTTTCGGGTTTGTTTTCTTTCTTTGATTAAGGGAAAGCACGGTAGGCATATTTCACAAGTGCACATCAGCGAAGCCACTGAGGGAGGGGTTTCGAAAATGGACCAATGAGCTTCTAGTGCTCTTGTGACGCTAAATCTTCGAGCCTGTGAGCATATGTTGTTTACGTTTTAATTTGCATTTGTTTCGCAGTTATAAATGTATGGCGTAATAGTAGAAAATCTCGCAGTGATTTCATTTTATGAGTTTAATTAATCGCTGACATTTCACTTTCAAGATTTTTATCACGCATTAATATTTAAATTAATCGCTGACATTTCACTTTCGCGAATTTTTTTTTCGCATTAATATTTGGATTGATGTTCACGGCATATTATCGCTCTTTACATCGAGAAAATGACTCAAGCTACAATAAGCCCGAATATTATGCATTAACTAACACCTGTGGATTAAGAGAATTCAAGTGTATAGTTTTTTGGACTGGAAGTGTTACAATGAATCTAGTGTTTTTTTATTTCACTGCTTGCATTCTTTTGATTAAGATTCAGAATACATATTGTGTATGATCTGATTATATCAATTGTTAACATTAAAAGTTAATATGTGAACAAATTGAATATATTCGTTGTGAATAATATAAATTCATTCAGTTTGATGAGTGTTTCGTGTGCTGAGAGTACATGTAAGAGTGAGCAGTGAAATTTAACACACTAAATGTATACGAATCTAAATTAGTAAAGTTCACGTTGAATAAAATTCTGCATTGGTTATTAGAACATCTTTTTCATATAGACTGCAATAAAAAGTCCTGACTTCTATTTACATAGAAATTGGTATAAATATTTTTCTCATTTCTTACAATTCATGTAAAGATAGCATTTGGGTTCAGGTGTTTATCACATATTTCTTTCTTCATCTCATTTACCACTTATTAAGTAATATTTCACATAGATATTTTTGCAGAGTATCCAACATTTGTATTTATTTCAAATCCTTTCAACCAGGTAGTGAAATATTCACTATTGCTTATATTTGATCTAAGTTCGCAATGAAAAGTTTCAGAAGAAATAGACGATGTTTTAATTATTTTGTAGAGAAAATTGCGTGGCAGAATATTTTCAACCATCTTGCTTAAACCTTAAAGCATGCGAAGGGTCATGTGACATGACAGAAATATTACTGGATGTTCATTGGTCCACCCTAGAAGCCACTCTCTCGGTGGCTACACAGATGTGCACTCGTGAAATATACGCACGGTAGAGTTAGTTATCTGCCTAAGAGAAGGAATGACTTCGATTAGGACTTTTTAAGGGAAACTGGTTGTTGTTCACGTTACACATGGGTTACATCACGAAAACGACCACGCAGCCAGCCCTTTCGTCTGTAATCGAATTCAAGTTAAATTACCAGCGTTCATCAACTTGACCACTCGGTCGCTGGTGGGCTTTCTTCCTCCAGAATAATAAAAGCAATTACTTCAGAGATTATGGTATTAATTTGAAGGTATAGTAATTTAGAACTTGAGTGCCGTGGAAGATGGTAATAAATAATCTGAATCTGTTTTACTTTATATGTATCATTAAAGCATATTTTTTACTTCTTCGCATTTCATCTGCCAGCAATAGTAAATGCAGGTTTCGATTATCAAGGCAATGCATATCGGTTTTTCACCTGCTAATTTCATCAACAGAAAATAAAATATCAAGATATGTTTTTATGAAATCGTAATTTAATAAAAATACGTCAAATAGAAATATAGATTTAACCGACGATGCTCACTTTTTAGGCCATCCGCGTGTAAAAGAATTTCTAGTTTTGAAACTGTTGTGCCATTTTATAGGGTAGCGCTGTCCAACTTATCAATGCCCGCGGGAATATTTTCTTCACTAAACATTTCGGGGGCCAAGAAAGTTGATAAATGAAAAGTCAGTTTATGTTAATTAAAAAAATATTTTATTTATACTAAAAAGAAAACTTTAAAATATTCGTAATATATTAATGAGAACATTGTGGCCGTAATTGTTTAGCAACAATATCTTTTATGTCCACATCAATATTTGTTACGGCAAATCTGATTATATCTTCAAGAGCGGAATCTTTCAAATTGTTTCTATATTTGACTTTATATATTTCATATCGGAGTATATGTACGCAGATATATGTACTTCCGAACACTGTTACAATTTCAAGTCCAAAATCTCTCAATTTTGGATATTTCTCTTTATCTAAAAATTTGAATATTTCTGTTCCAGTTACTCCACGAGATGTAAAAAATGGTGAGCCTGCAGGTCGCATAATTCTGTTTGATATTTAATATCAACGAAATTGATATCTATATTAATTGGATCACAAAATAAATGAATAGACAGTTTAAGATCCACAAATTGAGAAAATCTTTCATTGAAATCTGTAATTAGCATATCCAATTTTGGTAGAAATATTTTAAAATTTGCTTCTATATTACATTCCTTCATTTCTTCATAGATCTCTTTGCAAGATTCAAAATGAAATAAATTATTTTGCTCCAAATTAAACCTTAACAATTTTAATTTGTTTCTAAATCCAGTAACATATTTATAAAGGCTTTGATCTTGTCCTTGCAAGGATTTATTCAAAATATTTAAATAATTTGTAATGTTCATTAGGAAAGGAAGTGAGTAAATAAAATTTTTATCAACTAAATTTGCTGTCAAATTTTCATTGACGGCAAATTCTGTGAGAAAAAAATGAACGTCTTTTCGAAGTGTAAAGAATCTCCTCAAGCACTTTCCAGCACTTAACCAACGAACGTTACTATGTAAAAGTAGATCCCCATACTCAGTTTCCAATTCATCCAAAAATGTTTTAAATTTTCGGTGTGTAAGAGAGCGATTTCCGCCGCGAATTAAATTAGTAATTTTGCAAACTTTGTTCATTACGTCTTTTAGTTGTAGGGATAAACCACATAATGCCTTCTGATGGATAATACAGTGTAACATACGACATATTATTCCTTCTTTTTGCAAAAGTTCCGCGAGCCCAATATTTTTGCTCGTCATAACTCTAGCACCGTCGGTTACAATAGCAGTGCATGATAATCTCGTTTACACGTCGGCTTACAGTCTGGTGAGAAAGTGATACTTTTTGAAATTTTCTTACCATTTCGTTGTCATTAAATGCTTGAGCCATTTTTATGACACATTTTTTCATGAATCCATCCAAAAATGGCTTCTTTGCCTTTACTATTTCTAAACGAATTTCAAACGATGCAACTAAGATGCTTCTTGAAATTTTGGTTCTTGATTAAAATAAATCGTTTGATGATCCAGCTGCTTTTTCATTTTTTTCACTAGTGGTATTTTCATGTCTCGCTTGTACGAATGATACGTTTTTTCGTGCATGGAAAAATAATGGCTCTTCAAGTTATATTCTTTACACACAGCTATGATTTGTAAACATT